TGCGAAGCCGCTGAGCTTGCCAGGAAACTGAAACCAAGCCTCTGAAATATGAAATAAAGAGAGACAGGCCCCGGGATTAATTGGATCTCAATTTACTGTCCCAAAATGAATCCAAAGCCTTGCAGGAAGGTCACAGCTCAGGACACAGAGGGCAGACAGACACTGAAGTATCTTTCAAGCCTCACTCAACTAACCAGGCCCTTGCAGTTGAAAGACATTGTTTTTTTGGTTTTGAATCGGTTCGAGAACGTTTTCTATGAGTCTGTTGTTGGGCAGAAAACGTCCAGCCGGTTTTTGCCGCTCTTGTCAAGTGAAACACAAAAGAGGACACTGTGAGATGGGAGCTTGTGAATGTCCGGGCGCAACAAAGGCTGAGTTCTGTCTCGCCTGCTTCCTTTCTCACTTTCCTTTGGTTAAATCTTGGACTGACCTTCTGCCTTATAGTGGAAGTGTCCAGTCCTGCTCATACACGATGAAGGTCTTTGTCTCTGAGAACGAGGCATTCTTTGTGAGCCCGGAGCGAGAGCCCGGGACAGAGGCAAGATTTAGATAGAGTTACAGTTTACTCTGCAAGATGTGCCACAGACAGCAGTTAGCTGCAGTTTATGGTGATAAAGTCAGTAAAAGAATGGAAAGTAATCACTGACCCGCAAAGATACCCCAAGATTGTTTGGACAATCTGAACATTACTATTTAATTATTTACTTAATATGTATTTAATTAGTTTAAATGTTTTTAAACTAGAGTCACAATTCTTAAATTTTTGCCAAATTGGTGTTACAAAATGAGTTCAAAACTACAATTTCAGCAATTAATCACCAAAAAAATATTAAAATCTTAAAATTTGGGTATATTTTAAACATTTCTTAATGGTTACAACACTGTAATCCTCAACACATTAATACATATAAACCTAGTGTGAACTTAAAGTCGAACCCATCGGTTTGTTGAGTAATGTTATTTGAAGCCTCCAGTTTGCCGTTATGGTTGTCCACACAATGACGAAGTGGTCGGACCAGCCGTAGGTGGAACGTACTGCAAGCCCTAAAGCATCCCCTGCATTTATGTCCCTGGTTTACTTAATGGGACCCATCAGTTACTAAAAATGAACATCAATGCTGTAATGGAAGAAGACCTGAAACTAGAGAGGTGAAAGACCCATAAACCTCATCAGGAAACTGTTTTACTGAGCTTCATAAAATCAACTGAGAAGTCGACTCATTTCTCCATAAGACTCAATACTATCTGTGTGTTAGCTGCCCCCTGCTGGCTGTTACATAGACTGCAGGTTTAAGACCGTTCTCTGTCCGTTATATTTACTGTCAATAATATCAATGTGCTGGCCCTGTTTGGTTTATATTTCAGCTTCAAACAACAGCCGACTGCTGCCAACATGATGATCCACAGAGACTAATGGATTTATTTGGCTATAAAGTAGAAAAACCTTAACTAATAATTAAGTCATAATTAAATTAGTAATGTCTTAATTAGTCCGTAGAGTCTAACATGTCACTGTTGTTTATACAGTTTATCTTTCTCTCTTTGTTACATGTAATTGGGTTCAATAAATGAATCACAGCTTCGTCTGCTTGTTTCTGTATTTTTTTGTATTTTCTCCTCATTCTGTCACAAAGTCGCTTTGTTAAAAATAAAAGAGCTAAAAAAAGAACGCACCAGGTTATTTTTGTCACTTTTTTTATTAAATATTTTGGATCAAAAGCTGTCGGATGTCTCACTGGAAACAAAAACCCTAGAAGAGATCTTAAATTAATGTCTTTTACATCTTCAAAGGAAACGACCACAGACGAGAGATCTGTCGTCGTTTCTTCGATGTGAAAGAAAACTGACAGGATGTGAATGTTTGTCTCACAGGCTTCATTTCTTTATTTCAAAGGGTGTTTGAATACATAAAAATATACAAAGTCGATCTATATCTCAGCATTTTGTTCTTTTCTCAATGAAAATGTTACTTTATATATAGTTTATAGTATGCGTCCTGCATTAGAGCGAACCGTCAGGGAGAGGAAAACACTGTATTTGTAAAAAAAAAGAAGTTTATTAATTATATTTGATTCTTAAAAAAATTAAAAATACACAATAGAGACACATAATTGTATAAAAAGTTCCTAAAATATCAGGAAAACTGATCTCTGATCAATATTTACAGGAAATAATCTGCTCAAAATTCATCTAAATCGCTCGTTTTACACAAACGAATTCAGAATCAGGGAAAAAGGGGTCTTTATTATTATTATTGTTATTTTGGATGTTTGTTTTTTTGGGATTTTTATTTAAATTTATTATTATATTTAAACACCTGAACACAAACTGCATTCACACTCTAATAAACAGCCTTGTCCCAAAAATACACGAGGGTCAGGGAAAAGAAAACACTGAATCTGTCAAAAAAAGGAAGCTTATTAAGTATATTCTATTCTTAAGAAATTAAAAATGACATAATACAGACAGATAATTGTATAAAAATATCAGGAAAACGAAATAATATGACTCGTTTTACACAAACTTTTTTTTATTTGGGTTCATTGTTCAGTTTATCAGCTGTTCTCTACAGTTATTGTATAAAATATCCATAAAATAAGTCTTAAAACCTAAAATAACTTAACGTTTACTTTTGGTTTCACATGGGACACGAGCGCTGGTCTCCGTCCCTCTTTGTGTTCAGTGCTAGTTAGCGAATGTTAGCATTTGAACACAATAAACTAAGACGGTGCATCGTAATGTCTTTTCCACCCAGTTTTTGTGCCGTTTTTAACGAAATAAACTGGTTCAAAACACGAAAAGTTGGTTCCAACCAATAAATATCAGAGTTTCGGTGTCATTTTGAACGTGTTGTGTAACGAATAATTTAGAGGGAAAAACACCATTTGAGTGTGTTAGCAAGATAAATACGGCCTCACAACACAGCTTCAAACTCTTAGTTTGAACTAATCCACCATTTATTCACAACTTCAGATCACTCCCTTCTCCTTTCCTGCAACCTTCGAGCTGAATAAAAACCCTTGTTTGTATGTTTTATGTGCTGCTGAAGAAGATTTATACGCTCACTGTTGATTCATTTAAAGACATATAGGACGTTTCTCTGTGAAAGTGAAACCTAACCCCCCCGCTGTCCCTTCGCTCACCTCGCTGAGACTTCACACGAGCTCCACTTCAAATGTCACCCAGAAGCAACTGACAGAGGTGTTCACCGTGAGCTGTGATTGGTTGACGCCGAATAACAAAGCCTTTCGCCCACCGTGAGGCTGTTTACTTTGGACCGCCGCCACAGTCTCATTGTTAAAACACTGTATCCCACTCAGGCTTTGATGGCCTTTATTTCCGCACCAGCTGCCTGTAATAATCCTCTAAAAGGAATATAATCAATCCTCCTTAAATCCACTTTTAAAGGTTGTCTGCCTGTTCGTGTCCGGGCACTAATCACCTCGGTCTGCAGCCGTTAAACCCTCCACGACGTGCCGACGGGAATATTCAGCTTATGAATGTGGACGGGATCTCAGGGGTGACATAAATAACCCTGAAGCTCCGTGTTTGTTCTGTTAATAGGAAGGTTGATCTTTATTAAATTAGGTTGCTTTAGGAGCTGCAGCACAATGCACTGATAATATGGAAACGTGTTCATTGTTTTGGGTTCATTGTACAGTTTTATTTCTGTACTTTTATTGATATACATTAAATATAGTATTAAATATAATATAAAACTTTGTCAGGTTACTCAACGATATAAAAAGGGTCAATTAAGGAAAAAGGAGGTCAGGAATCACTCGTTTAAAGGACCAGTGTTTAGGATTTAGTGTTGCAGTGAAGTTGCAGACTAACTGAACACCTCTCGCATCTGTATTTGACGACCTGGGAATAAGAACGGGCTGTGAAGTCTGTAGGAAAACACACTGATTCTTATTTTCAGGTGATTACACATTAATGAAAACATAGCTATGAATAGATCCTCCTGAATGTTTCACACTGGAGCTTTAAGACGTTTATTTATTACACATTTGTTGATTCCAGGTTTCATGTTTCTTTTTATATTGTGGTTCTTTAATATCTTTGTCTTAATGCCTTTGATGTTTTATATAAAGCACTTTGAATTATCTTCACTGTAAAACCTAAAAAACAAAACAGTTTAAACACCAACAATTAAAGCATGAAAAAATATTTGTGAAAGTAATTTATTAAGGTAAATTAAGCTAATTGTACTTAAAACTAGTATTTTACACTCATATGCAGCATATACATACGAAAAAACAATTTACAATTAATTGATTATTAAAATACTGCACAAATTTAATGCATTCAAAACAACTTTTTGTTAACTTTTTATGAAGATATGTTGTTAGGATTTACAGTTTAAAGTGTAAGTTACTCATTTATTAAGGTAAATTAAGTTAATTGTACTTAAAACCACAAAATATATTACTCATATGCAGAATTTCTACAAAATGATTTAAAATGTGTTCACAGAATTTATTTATTTTACTATAAAGTAACTTAAACACATCTTTTTTTATTCATTTTTTGGTTGAGTTTAATTTATGTTAATTTACCTCTTTTATTAGATATGTTGTTTGTGTGTATTTATCTGTGTATCCTGGTTGGTTTATGGATGTTTTTTCTTTATAATCAGCTTCATTACAGTTATTTGTTGTCCTGTCTTCCTCTGTGGTGTCTATATATAACCTCCCCATCCATTCGTATCCACGATGAGCAGCAGGTTGCTGTAACTCTACCACTGTATGCCCATGTAAAGGAAGGAGGCTGCACACTGAGGACGATGCTGACGTATATAAAGGGACAGTGCAACCAAGAGCTCCACAATCCTTTTCGGTGTGTGGATTCTTGTTTGTTTCTCATATTCCTGAACTTCCTGGTTGATGCAGTAAGTGGGTGAGTTGATCTCAAACGTTATTTATTACATAAAATTCAAGAAAACTCAAGATAAACATGCAGATTTCTTCTTTTCTTATTTGGGTTCAGGAGGAGAAAATGAGCACAGATGGAGAAATGTCAATCTTCGGGCCGGCCGCCCAGTTCCTCCGCAAGTCTGAGAGGGAGCGGACGGAGGCCCAGTCCCGCCCGTTTGATGGCAAGACAGCGTGCTTCGCCAGCGACGAGAAAGAGCTGTATGTCAAGGCTGAGATCCAGGACAGGGCGGACGGCAGAGTCACTGTGAAGACCGTGGATGACAGAGTGGGTGGACTGAAGTGGCCTTTTAATGAGACACTGAGCACAGTGAATATTCCTGTTATGGGATGTCTGTCTGTTAAAAACCTGCAATAAAGAATCTGTTTTATGAGTCTGGCCTTCAACATTTAGTCTCCCCCTGAAGCCACAAGAGTTGTGTTTTGTTCCTGCAGACTTATTTCCTGACTTTAAACTTCCTATTTTCCAGACTTTGACTGTCAGGGAGGACCAAGTGTTTCCCATGAACCCGCCCAAGTTCGATAAGATTGAGGACATGGTGATGATGACGCACCTCCACGAGCCTGCGGTGCTGTTCAACCTGAAGGAGCGGTACACGGCGTGGATGATCTACGTAAGTCTTCCACTGAATTGAATTATTATTAACTCACCATTCAATTACAGACCAGCAGTGTGAGACAATAAAATAATATTATTACTTTACTAATTACTCCCTGCCAACATGAATTAGTTACACTACTAGTTATATTACTTTTCTGCTAATTCCTCCTCAAAATTAAGACTTAACAACGATTAAAATCCAGTTTTGTTTGTTATAATCAAAATAATAACGACACGATTACAAAAATGAATCCAAGTATCTGATTGGATTTTTGGATTTCAACAAACTGTACATTAATTAGTAATTAGTTACATTACTAGTTATTGGGGAAAGTAATATTATTACTGTTAATGTCCAACACTGCAGGTCAACAGTTGAAATGTGACAATGAAAGTTAATCTATAATTTGGCTTAATAAAAAACAATATATATATATATATATAAATATTGAAGATTAAAGAATAAAGATTAAAATCTTTTTGTTTTTACTTCCCTGAAGTTTAACCTGCTGCTGATTTAACTGTAAAGAAAACGTTGCTCAACACAGATTAATTAAAATACATTTGACATTTTCTTCAAAAATACATTATTGATGCTAAAAAATATTACTTGCATCCCTACTTGCATTAGGTTAATTTATAAAAGGTAAATAATAAAATTTTATTTCATTTTATGTCTAATTTTAACTAATTGTTAATGCTAATGTCTAAAAGCTAAGCTACGTAAGGTGAACTCGTATCTGAGTTTTATTCAGTAAAATAACACTGAGCTTAACACAGAATATCATATTGCTTTTTATAAAGTTGCTGTGATTATTTTATAATATTAGGTAAAACAAAAATCCAGTTCTGGTGAGATTTAACGACCACGTTTGATTGTGAGTTAAATGCTAACATGCTAATATGTTTAGCAGATATAATGTTGACCATGTTCAGTTTGACGTATTCAATGCTAACATTTGCTAATTATAGGATAAGATAATGTTTCTTTATTGATCCCCCCAGCAGCAGCACAGTGGATGTAGTGCAAAGAGTAAAGAAAAAGAACATAATAATAAAGAATAAAACATAATAAAATATAAAATATATACATTAAAATAGAATATAACTGAGGCTAAGAAGGCTAAATAAATGTTTTCTTTTCCCTGCAGACGTACTCTGGGCTGTTCTGTGTGACTGTGAATCCTTACAAATGGCTCCCGGTCTACAACCCGGAGGTGGTCCGGGCCTACAGAGGGAAGAAGAGGATGGAGGTTCCCCCTCACATCTTCGCCCTGTCTGATAACGCCTACCAGTTCATGCTCACCGGTACGTCAGCAGCACAAAATCAACACAACTGAACGATCTTACGTCTTTTATTTCACCGTGTGTTTTCTTTTACGTCCTCAGATCGTGAAAATCAGTCTATTCTCATCACGTAAGTTTATCTGAGGTGTTTGTTTGTATATTTCACAAACTACTGACATTAAAAACTCTGAAATAATTCACATTTTCTTCCTCTTTTGTTATTATAAGTGGAGAATCCGGTGCTGGAAAGACTGTGAACACTAAGCGTGTCATCCAGTATTTCGCAACAATCTCAGTTGGTGGAGACAAGAAGAGGGAGATGAACAGTAAAATGAAGGTGAGTCCGGGACGTCATTTGCCGGTAGAGTCCGTCAGAGAAAGAGCGGGAGTCAGATTTATGTGTTTTGCCTTTTTTAGGGAACTCTGGAGGATCAAATCATCCAGGCCAACCCTCTGCTGGAAGCTTTCGGGAACGCCAAGACGATGAGGAACGACAATTCGTCTCGCTTTGTGAGTCATTTTATTATCCCAGATGGGAAGTTTGATTTGCAAAGAGGCACAAATCATCTTCTCAGCAACCTTAAAAATGTAGTTCAGGTGGTTTTTATTCTTTATGTTCAGGTTACTGTACAAAGAAATCATAGAAAGAGTAAGAACAGATTCAATAAACGACTTAAATAATAAAATAGGGATAGAATTTTCCTCATTAACAAACATTTAATGTCCTAAGGAAGTTTTAAAATTGACATATAAACATTATAAATGACTGTTGGAGACTAAGATGTAACTGGTTTTGTTGAACAGGGCAAATTCATTCGGATACACTTTGGCACAACTGGTAAACTGTCGTCTGCAGATATCGAAACGTGTAAGTTTCTACAAACTCTGTGTAGAATATTTGATGCATTACGTTGCTGTAAAAGTGTGTTAAATGTTTTATGTCTTTTCCTCTTTAAAAGACCTGCTAGAGAAGTCGAGAGTGACCTTCCAGCTGGCGGCGGAGAGGAGTTATCACATTTTCTATCAGCTTACTTGCAACAAGAAGCCTGAACTGATCGGTAATCTGATTAATTCTTCTGTTTTTATCTTGCTGTTCTTACAACGTTCATACAAGAGAGATTTTAGCTTGATTTCTTTCCCTTCAGATCTGCTTCTCATCACCACCAACCCCTACGACTTCGCCTTCATCAGTCAGGGCGAAATCAGCGTCAAAAGCATCAACGACGCCGAGGAGCTGATGGCCACAGACGTGAGTGGACTCGCATGCTGAAGCTCGCTCCATCTCTGAATCTCAGTCTGATTTTGAGCATTTTGTGACACAGGAGGCCTTAGATATTCTGGGCTTCACGGCGGAGGAGAAAACGTCCATCTACAAGCTGACCGGAGCTGTGATGCATTATGGGAACATGAAGTTCAAGCAGAAGCAGCGTGAGGAGCAGGCTGAGCCAGATGGCACAGAGGGTGAGGATCATCCATCCAAATTAATACTGTCGTACGAGCAAATGGAAGCAGACTGATGAGGAAAAATAAAAGTTGTGGTTGAGATTAGTTTGTTTTTGTTTGTAGAAGCTGATAAAGCGGCGTATCTGATGGGCCTGAACTCTGCTGATCTGCTGAAAAGTCTCTGTTATCCCAGAGTGAAGGTCGGAAATGAGTATGTCACCAAGGGACAGACTGTACAGCAGGTAACACGTCTACTTCTGGATATATATACAAAGCCACTGTCCATAATGAGGTTATTAGGGGTCGCCAAAGCTTCATGCGGGGTCGCGATGCCTTCTTGATTGAAGAGGTGTAAGAAAATATACACAGTAGGGCTAAATCTCAACATTATATTCATTCCTGTGTGGATTTTTTTATTAATTTGATTAAATTGTTATTTTGGATGTTTAAATTGATCAACTCTGAACATATGCTTTTACAGAAGCTTTCACTCTCTGATAAACAGCCTCGTCCGAAGGTACAGAAGTACGGCAAGGGAGAAGAAAGAAGACTATTAAGTGTATTTTACTGTAAAAAAATATTAAAGATACATGATACAGAGAAATAATTGTATAAAAATATCAAGAAAACTCATCAAGGTTGGAAATAACCAATATTTAAAATTCAATCAGACAAAACTAAACAGCTGCTTCATTTCCAACACTGGGACCAGATGACTTTCTGTTAAACTGAGAAGTTGTGCGAGTGCTCTTACTCTTAAAATAATGAAAATAATCTTGTTCCTCTGCTGGGATATTATGCAACAATTGTTGTTACTGGTTAAATCGAGCTCAATATTAGCTGTAATATCTTATTAAGACAAAGTTAGACATATTTTCTCTTAAAACCATTTTATTTTTCTAAAGCAAAATCATCCACAACAAGATTATTTTTCTTTTTAGACAAAATATAAGACAAATTTCCCACAAAAAAGGCTGTTTTCTTAACATTTAGTTGCACTTTAACTTTCCCTCTCTCCAGGTGTACAACTCCATCGGCGCTCTCGCAAAGTCCGTCTACGAGAAGATGTTTCTGTGGATGGTCGTACGAATCAACCAGCAGCTGGATACAAAACAACCCAGACAACATTTCATTGGCGTTCTCGATATCGCTGGCTTCGAGATCTTTGATGTGGGTGTTTAATATATATATATATATAGATCTTATTTTACATTAGTTATGATGTATGTTTATTCAAATACCATCTTTTACGATGTTGTCTGTAGTACAACAGCATGGAGCAACTCTGCATCAACTTCACCAACGAGAAGCTGCAACAGTTTTTCAACCACCACATGTTTGTGTTGGAGCAAGAGGAATACAAGAAAGAGGGGATTGAGTGGGAGTTCATTGACTTTGGGATGGATTTGGCGGCCTGCATTGAGCTTATTGAAAAGGTACTGTCATTTAAAATACTAGCCTGGATGAAAGGAAGTGTTTAAACAATGATTTTTAATAAGAACAATTGTTTCCCAGCCAATGGGGATCTTCTCCATCCTCGAGGAAGAGTGCATGTTCCCAAAATCCACAGACGCCTCTTTCAAGAACAAACTGTACGACCAACATCTCGGGAAGAACAACTGCTTCTTGAAGCCCAAAACGGTCAAAGGCAAACCGGAGGCTCACTTCACTCTGATGCACTACGCCGGCACTGTTGACTATAACATCAGCGGCTGGCTGGAGAAGAACAAAGACCCTCTGAGCGAGTCTGTGGTGCAGCTGTACCAGAAGTCTTCGGTAAAGATACTGGCCATGTTGTACGCGAGCTTTTCTGGATCCGATGGTGAGTTTTTTGGGGTTTTATTTAATATTTAAATACTTACAAATTAAACGTATTATTTTATTCCACAATTAATTGCATCAGTGGCGGCTGCTTTATGCTCAAAAACTCATGAAATGTAGCACAAAAGTTGGGTGGCGGAACAAAATGTATCAAGACCAGACATACAAAAAAGCCTCAAGGATCCATATCCCAAACACAACAGGAAGTCGGCCATTTGGAATTGTAGTCATTTTTAGTGGTCATTTTTGGCGATTTGCGTACGTTTTAACGGACTTCTATTATAACTGATTGGATCGGCTTCAAATTTGGTCAGTGCTATCTAAAGACCTTCACAGTTAAAAGTTTTGCTATTTGTGACCGTACGTCGAACGGCGTGCCCTTGGCTTGGCGTCAAATTACGACGTTTCGCCATTAAACAGGAAGTTCTCATAACTTCAGAGTAGTTGGTCCAATTTCTACCAAACTTCACATGTCTGATAAGAGTCCTGAACACTTCTACCTGCCAATATTCAGTCATACTCAAACCATCTGTAGTTATAATTACCATAGTATCATTAATGTTTATGTTAATTTCTTCTGCGTAATTGTGAAAATGCACAAATATAAAGTAAATCTATGCACAGAGTTGGTTTGCAGAAGGATGGTTGGTATCGTTGTGATTAGTATTCATGGATTCATATGGAGAAATATTTTATGAAAGTAAGAATTATCCATAAAAGTGAGATATGACTGTTACTGTGTGTTGGTTTTAAATGTGTCATTAATGCAGAGGCAGCTGCAGGAGGAACTAAAAAAGGATCCAAGAAGAAGGGAGCATCTTTCCAAACTGTGTCAGCGCTGTTCAGGGTAAGATGCTAACAGAACTTTTAGGAAATATAGATTGAGGTTTTTAAGCACTTGAAGATTGTAACTAAAAAGTTAAACTAAAAGTTTATCCATGCTAGCAGCTTGGTGAAGCTGTACTTTAAGCTAAATGCTGACATCAGCATGCATACTAGCTCACAATAACAATGCAGATGTTTATCATGTTCAGCATTATGGTTTTGTGTGTAAGCATGCTAACAGTTGCTAAATAATACTAAACACAAAGAATATTGAGCTTGATGGGAAAGTTTTGCAGGTATTTTAAACATAAACTAGAGTATTGGGCCCAAAAGTTAAGGAAGTTATTAATGTGTGCATCAAATTTTAAGACAATCCATCCAATAGTTCAAAGTTATTTTAACAAAAAAAAAATTGTTGAAACTGATTACATTGAGAATTTTAAGCAACAGAAACCCAAACACCAGGGAGGAGAAAACATTTATCAAGAAAAAAACCTATTAAGTCTGTATGATTGTTAAAAAATACAAAAAAATATAATACAGAGAATTGTATAAAAAGTTCCTTAAACAGGAAATAATCATCCAAGTTCATCCAAATCACTTGTTTTACACAAACGTCTTGCAGTTACTGAGTTTTGAGTTTGAGTTCATTGTACAGTTTTCAATATAATATGAAACTATAAAATATGTCACTGAGTCAGTTTACTGAATGATAGAAAAAGAAGTTTGTTAAGGGAAAAGGTTGGGAGTCACTGAACTACACTGTAACTAAAATCATATCTGAGAAAACATTTTGAATAGAAGAGAAGAACTCATAAAGTTTCATATATGAATTCTTTGGATGTTCTTATTGCTTTTCTGTCACAAAGTAAATAAGAAACAACAACTCACGTGTACATTTTACTTACAGGAGAATCTCGGGAAGCTCATGACGAACCTGAGAACGACTCATCCTCACTTTGTCCGCTGTTTGATACCAAATGAGACCAAAACACCAGGTAGTATCAATAATCCGCTTTTTACCGTATCTTTATTAAATAACATATTATAAAACATGAAACTCCAGCTGACACCCTAATCAATAATGTCACATTTTTGCATTGTAAAAATAAGTTTATAAGCTGTAGAAAGACTGAGATATAGCAAGCAAAGATGGATTATTTAATATTTCATAACTCTGTTCTAACAAATGTTATTAAAATTATTAAATGTTTTGTAATGTTATTTTTCCAGTAAAGTTCATTAAAAAACTATAAAAAACATACTTTGGATTTCATAAAACATAAATACAATCAATCGTTTTTATAAGAATTGTTGGCTGTAATTTTATTATTCTGACAATTAAGAGTAATATACATTTCTGTCCCGATATATATTATATAAAACTATTGCCTTCAGGTGCAATGGAGAACAACCTGGTTATCCACCAACTACGCTGCAACGGCGTGCTGGAGGGGATCCGGATCTGCAGGAAGGGATTTCCCAGCCGAATCCTCTACGGGGACTTCAAGCAGAGGCAAATAAAGCTTTACCTTTTAAATATTTAATAATGTTTTTCATCCCATAAAACTCAGACCTGTTATTCCTCCTGCAGATACAGGATTCTGAATCCCAGCGCGGTTCCGGAGGGACAATTTATGGACAACAAGAAAGCTGCAGAGAAACTTCTGGGCTCAATCGACGTGGATCACACTCAGTGCAAGTTTGGACACACTAAGGTTTTTTAATTTGTTCTCACGTGCTTGTTGAGTGGTTGAGATGTTCAGAGCTGCACAGAACGATAACTACCTATAATTTCAGGTGTTTTTTAAAGCTGGTCTGCTGGGCACTTTGGAGGAGATGCGAGATGAGCGGTTAGCTCAGGTTGTGGCGTCCACTCAGGCTCTGTGCCGCGCCTACCTCGTTCGCCTGGAGTACCAGAGGATGATGGCCAGAAAGTAAATATATTCACTGCTTTAAAGCTGCGACTTTACATGTGTAATTTTTGTGGATTATGCTACACTATACTTTTGTTCTTGCCTGAAACAGTTAAATTTAGGTTTAAGAAGTGTGTAATTATGGAGTTTGAACTTCTTTTCATATCATTGAACTGCCACAAATTTCCAGAAATATCACTGAGGACATTACCTCAGTGTCTGATGCAGTTCTGTGCTGCAATAATGTAATTTTGGCGAAAAGAAGAACATGTTTGCACGTTGTTATGACCTGATGAAAACACAGATCTGTGGTTTGTTATGTTTTAAAAAAAAAATCCTGAAACTTGCAGATTTAACTTATCCATGTTTTACTTTGACAGGGAGGCAATCTACACCATCCAGTATAACTTCCGCTCTTTCATGAACGTGAAACACTGGCCGTGGATGAAGCTGTATTTTAAGCTCAAACCTCTCCTGAAGAGCGCTGAGGCGGAGAAGGAAATGGCCCAAATGAAGGTGGATTTCACGAAGCTCAAAGAAGATCTGTCCAAGTCAGAAAACCGGCGGAGGGAACTCGAAGAGAAGCTGGTTTCCATTGTACAAGAGAAGAACGACCTCCTGCTCCAGGTTCAGACAGTAAGTCCCACCTCAGACTGAGCGACGGTCACATAGTCGGCTTGATTGTTACCATCACTGACTTAACTGTTTTCACAAACTTGATATCAGGAGGCCGACAGCCTGCAGGATGCCGAGGAGAGATGTGAAGGCCTCATCAAAAGCAAGATCCAGATGGAAGCCAAGCTGAAGGAGGTGACAGAGAGACTGGAAGACGAGGAGGAGGTCAACGCCGAGCTGACCGCCAAGAAGAGGAAGCTCGAGGACGAGTGCTCTGAACTGAAGAGGGACATCGACGACTTGGAGCTCACCTTGGCTAAAGTGGAGAAGGAGAAACATGCCACAGAAAACAAGGTAGTATCATGTTCATCATGAGGCTGTAGCGTCACGTTTAAAGGCTCCACATGCTGCAGAAAACCGCTGTTAATAGTGACACTAGCTGAATGCCCCTGCCTCGCATTGCTCTTGGCTAGTACACTTAGCTTAGCTTAGCTTGGTACGGTTATTTATTGTTGATAAAAAATAAACCAACATTTGTCATAAAACACAAGTTAGTATCATGGGGACGTAATTTTGCAGGTTAACTTTAGCCAACTAACATATGCACTCAGATTGTACGATAGCCAGCTGCAACCAAACCATGGCGCCGGCCACCCTGTAACGCCAGCGGACACAGTAACCTGCAAACAACAAGCCAGCCCGATTATTCCCCGGAGTTTGGATGAAGCTAAAACCCGGAGGTTATGAATATAACCAGTGTTCCCTGAGGGATGGAAACAAGGTTAAACACTTAAGTATTAAACCAACATGTTGGTTTCTGGATCTCTACATAGAAACCCATAAAAATTGGTCCACAGGCAACCAAGAAAGTTGGGCAGTGTCTCATTTTTAAGTTATGTTACAACCCGTTCACACATTGTCAATAAAAAGTAATTAATAAATAAAAATATTACGTAAAAAGCTTCAGAATCTGACATTTTGGAGCCTTTTAGGAGGAGTTGTCTCATCATTTCTTTATAATGACTTTAGGTGAAAAACCTGACTGAAGAAATCATGAGCCAAGATGAAAATATCACCAAATTGTCGAAGGAGAAGAAATCGCTGCAGGAGGCTCACCAGCAGACGCTGGACGACCTGCAGTCAGAGGAGGACAAAATAAACACTCTGACCAAAGCCAAAACCAAACTGGAGCAGCAGGTCGATGAGGTGAGTGTCTGTACTCACAGGAAAGTTGAGGGGGTAGAAATGTAACACACTGCTGCGGTTAAGATGTAAATGTGTGATTTTAGCTGGAAGCTTCTCTGGAACAAGAGAAAAAGCTGCGTATGGACCTGGAGAGAGCCAAGAGGAAGCTGGAGGGTGATCTGAAACTGGCCCAGGAATCCATAATGGATCTGGAGAATGAGAAACAGCAGCTGGATGAAAAGCTGAAAAAGTGAGTGGTGTGAAAAAAGATGATTCATCTGCAGTATTTCATATTTAATGTTGTATTGTTAAATATTTCACCTTTAAAGCTGCAAAAATTGATATTTTTATATGAACTATGGAAGCTAAAAAATGCCATAATCAAAAAGTGGCAGATTTGACGAACCCGCAGAGATAATTATCACCTGAATCTGCGGCTCAGCTCTCTGGAGAGTTTTAGTGTCTTTCAGCTCATTGTTTTGGTTTTATGACTCTCAACTTCACTGTTTTCTGGTTCAGTCTCACAGCTCTCATGAACCATGTTTTCAGGCAGACAAAGACATATATTTCTCTCAGGAGTTTGTAGAGACCAAAAACAGAGCTAAGACGGACAGAAAATGACTTCAAAAGAATGATAATGTTGCTCCGTGTTTGAAAACTCTTTGCAAACGTAACGTATAAAGTGATCCCCAAAGGCCAAAGGATGCTTTTATGCAGGTGTGATACATCATATTTCAGTATTATAAACTTAAGACTAGATTACCTTCTAGTAGCTTACATTAATAAGTGAAATCAATCATTTTTAATATGAATCAAACTTTTGGAAAGAAACCACCTGTGGGAAATTATAACTTCTGTTCTGCAAATTTCTGCATCACGCTTTGCTAACTGGTGCATTTTCTGATTTTGTGATGGATTGAAATAAACAGCAAGCTTCACTCTGCAGGAAAGACTTTGAGTCGTCACAGCTGCAGACGAAGATAGAAGATGAACAAGCTCTCGGTGCTCAGCTGCAGAAGAAAATAAAAGAGCTCCAGGTGAAGAATTCAATCGCCAGCTCGGGTTTGAGGTTATATCACAGACGACTTCAGTGGAGGTATTCTCCCAGGATCACATCATTTCAACCTCTTATCTGCAGGCAAGGAGCGAGGAGCTGGAGGAGGAAATCGAGGCCGAGCGCTCGGCTCGAGCCAAAGTGGAGAAGCAGAGGTCCGATCTGTCCCGGGAGCTGGAGGAGATCACGGAGAGGCTGGAGGAGGCCGGAGGAGCCACCGCCGCTCAGGCTGAGCTAAACAAGAAACGCGAGGCCGAGTTCCTAAAAATACGCAGGGATCTGGAGGAGTGTTCACTGCAGCACGAGGCCACGTCTGCTGCCCTGCGCAAGAAACACGCAGACAGCGTGGCCGAACTGGGAGAGCAGCTGGATAACGTCCAGAGGGTCCGGCAGAAACTGGAGAAGGAGAAGAGCGAGTTACGGCTGGAGGTGGACGACTTGGCTAGCAATATGGAAACCATGGCCAAAGCAAAGGTTGGTTACCAAATTCATTTTTAATGATCAGTTCCATTCCA